CTCTATCGAATGGGAGTAATCCAAAAACTAACTCACAAATTATTTAGTAAAAAAGAAGCGAGTGAGTAATTGCTCTCTAATTAACCCTTTACCCATGAATCAAGAATTCTTCACCCTCCACCAACAAGACTTAGAAACTCTAATCGCTAAAAGTAATTGCTCCTGTCACTTCATTAACCCGAACAAAACTCGGATCATTTTATGAAAAGAAACCAAGGATGACCCTGAAATTTACTACTTAAGAATTGGAATTCAAAAATTTATCTCTTATCCTTTAAAAGATAAAAACCAAGCCCTTTACTGACGGTTTAACTGTTTTGAAAAGTTATCCGAACCTTCAAAAGAAGAAGTTATCTCTGAGCCTGCTCAATCCGACCCTAATAATCCGATTACTAAATATCAGCAAAGAATAGCCAAAACCGAAGCCATTAATCATGCTAAATCAACTTCAAGTTCCGAGCAATCTGAATCAACTAGTCAGTAGTTTACAAACTTTGGCTCCGGCTAATAATGAGACTACTCAACTAATCACTTACACCCTAATTGCCACCGTAGTAGTCGGAATCTTTGTTTATCACTATATTAAAGAAAGCGAAAAAAATGGTTAACTGAAGAGAATACTTACCCGACTTAAAAGGTGCCTTAAAAGGCTTTTATGAAGAAAGTTTAAAAGACACAGTCGAAACTAAAACCAATGAGTTCAAATCTCTGTTAGAAAAAAATATCGCTTATGGACAAAAAACTCAAAAGGCTTTAATTGCCATTGCTTTAGCGATTTTTATCCTACTACTAATTGCTTACTTTTGAAAGTAATTTTTTCCTTAAAAGATTACTTCAATTTACGAAAGAAATCAAATACTTATGAAAACCAAATACTTAGCCCTCGGAATTCTCACGGGACTCTTATTACCTTACCTTTATACCCTAACCCACACTCCATCTGAATAACCCTTTTTACTACTAAATATCTAAAGAAAATTAACTATCAACATGAACTTAACTCAAATTAAAGAATCAAGATACACTTACTTAGCCTTGGGCATCGTAGCCGGATTAGTTTTCGCTTATGTCTATACTAATTACTTGAAAAACGAATAAACTATGCTCGAAAAATTAAAACAAAATAAATGAATTATTATTGCAGTAGTAGTTGCTTTAATCGCAATTTATTACTTTTACCAAAAAAACTATGGTGAAAAATAAAGCCGCAAAATATTGAGACCAAGTAAACTTACTGGCTCAAGAAAAAATATTTAAACTTTTAACTACTAATCTCCCCTTCCAAAATATCAAACTAATTACTGAACCCTGAAAATATGAAGACCGCCAACTAAAACTAACTGGCTTATTCCTAAGCAGGGATGCTGATTATCGGACTTTACTAAGTGATATTGAAAACCAGTATGCGGAAGAAGCATTACCGGATGAAGAAACTATGGCCGAAGAAATCACGCTCTGATACTGTCGCTTAGTGGTCAAATCTCTAATTACTGATTTAAGTGATTACTCTCCTTATGACCCTTCTTATTTTACCAATTTAACTTCTAATGATTATTAAAGCCTTATGCCCAATATAAGTAAATTACCTAAAAAGAAAAAACTCAAAAAGACTAAAAAAACCCTCTCCTTACCCACTCCTTCTAAACCTAAAAAAGTTAAACCCTCTCCCGTCGACTACTATAACTG